AGACAATGGACAAACTGTGAGCGCAATTCGGCTGCGTGCTAACTCTTGCATGAGTTTAGCGTCTTCAATGCTAGCCACCCCGTGATCAATACGCTTGGCGCGCAATAGTTCCAATGCTTGCCATATGTATGCGGGTGGCCCTTCTTCCCCAGCGTGTGCAACCACTTGTAAACCTAACTCTCTACATCGCGCAAAGACTCTGGCAAATTTTTCTGGCGGGTTGCCAACTTCTGAAGAATCTAGGCCCACACCGATGATTTTATCCAGATAATCCTTGGCCATCGCCAAAGTATTAAAAGCATCTTCTTCGCTCAGATGGCGCAAAAAACACATGATGAGCTTAGAGCGCACCCCCCACTTTTGCTCGGCGTCTTGGCAAGCCCGAAACAAGCCATTAATAACCGCGCCCATGTCAACCGATCTTTGCGTATGTGTTTGAGGATCAAAGAAAATTTCCGCATACACCACATTGTCCTGGTGGGCGCGCTCTAAATACGCCATGCCCATTTCATAAAAATCTTGCTCATGTATCAGCACGGAAGCGCCTGCATAATAAATATCCAGAAAACTTTGCAAGTCCGTAAAGGCATATGCCTGACGCAGGCTCTCCACACTATCGTAAGGCAGAGCAATGCCATTGCGTTTGGCCAAGGCAAAAATCAACTCTGGTTCGAGAGAACCTTCAATATGTATATGCAGCTCTGCTTTGGGTAATTTTTTAATAAATTCTACGAGTTTGGAGTCCATGGGCTTAGTCAGTCAGAGTTTAAATTTTGGAGATATTTTATGACAACATTTGAATTTCAAATATAAAAGACCACCCTGCAGAGTAGCAAAGGTGGTCTTTTGTAGAGCCAATAATTAACTTTATTTGCTGCTTGGTACTTTGCCGTCCACACCTTTTACATAAAAGTTAATTCCACCCAAAAACCCATCGTCTGCCACCGCATCTTTGGCCAAAACCTCTTTGCCAGTGTTATCCACAATGGGACCCCTCCAAATTTGGTAACTTCCATCTTTCAAACCAGCCTTAACCTCATTGACTTTGGTTTGTATAGGTTCAGGCACATCCGATGCCATAGATACAAAATCAATAGCGCCTTCTTTTACGCCCCACCAGCTCTTTTCCTCTTTCCAAGTGTTGTTCAGCACGTCATTAGCGGCCTTGATATAGTAAGGTCCCCAGTTAATTACCGCCGAACCCAAGTGTGCTTTAGGTCCGTATTTTGTCATGTCGCTATCCCAACCAAAGGCGCGCTTACCCATTTTTTCGGCAGTTTGTAAAACTGCTGAAGAGTCAGTGTTTTGCATCAACACATCAGCGCCACCATTGATAAGCGCGGTAGCCGCTTCGGTCTCTTTGCCCGGATTAAACCACTCCCCTACCCATACTACTTTGGTTTTTATCTTGGGATTAACGCTCTGCGCTCCCAGTGTAAAACTATTGATATTGCGGATAACTTCAGGGATAGGAATAGATCCAACAACGCCTAAGGTATTGCTTTTGGTCATACCGCCAGCAACAACACCAGCCATGTACGCACCTTCGTAAGTACGACTATCGTACGTACGCATATTAGCAGCAGTTTTGTAACCCGTGGCATGCTCAAACTTTACGTTGGGGTTATCGGCTGCCACTTTAAGCATAGGCTCCATATAACCAAAAGTAGTACCAAAAATCAGCTGGTTGCCATCGGCGGCCATTTGGCGTATTACCCTCTCAGCGTCTGCGCTTTCCGGCACACTTTCTACAAAACTGGTTTGCACTTTATCGCCCAAGGCTGCTTG